TCCCAGGGACCAAGCCCGGGTTTAAAAAGTTAAATAGTATAAGGTGTATATTCATTAGTCTTATTTGTTATTCTGGTTGTCCTATAGCATACTATATTTATTTCTCTATTTTTGTTTTTTAATAGAGAATTATTATACCAAGACCTATGACCAGGTGTTCTTATTGCCGCCGAGAATGTCCACCAGGTGGAGCCAGACTTAAAAGATGCACTAAGTGTTACAGTGCAAGTTACTGTGATCAGTAAGTTTGCAGTTTAAATAATATATTTGGGTACTAATTTATGAATATTACTTTATAACTCATTGAATAAAATTCTTTTAAAGATTTAATAATAAATTATACAGTGCATAAAGCTAAAAACATTGTTCATATTGTAAACTTTCTTTAAAATCAAATAACTTAATATCTCAATACTTATTAGAACTTGTCAGAAGAATCACTGGAATTCTCATAAGAATGGCTGTAAGTTGACCCCTGAGTTAGTTGGCTGTCCATTTATTGTCCGCATTCCTGTTTCTCAGTTGACTTATCCAACCCTTGCAAGAATATTAGAGGCATACTCCAGGTAGGTTTATTAGAGTCAGCTGTTTGAATAGACCAGAAAATGATTTACAGTATTTTTTGTATGTGTGACAGTTAACTTTTGCATGCACATAACATTACAACATACATTTTCATATATGCACTATATGTCTTGCAGGCTATACTTCATTATATGTATATTGAATACAATTTTTCTTCTCTATAGCATGCCACAAGTCAGGGAAGTATCTGACATTTGGGTTGTGTTACACTTACTCTGTACATTTCAAAGAGATTGGGCATGTTTCTCTAGTAATTGTATGACAGTTGTCTGTATTGTACTTTAATAATTCATATTGATTTTTGTTTTAAATATACAATAAATACTTGTTGATTGTTAAACTAGAAGTATGCCAAAGTCTTGAATTGATAAGTTTGTGTTTATAACACAAATGGTAATATCAGTTTCATATTTTTGTTTTGTTATTTTTTAAAAGAATGTTTTTAATCAAAGTAAATTGTTTTTTAATGTCTCTAGCTAACTAAAGTGTTGTTTTCTTAAATAGGTATTCTGTGGATGTATTTCAACCCCCTCTTCAAATGACAACAGGAATAAAAAGAAGTTCTTCTCTGAGTTCTTCTGGCACACTTAATGTCTCTCTCAGTGAGCAGTCAACAAGCCAGTCATTTGATAGTGGTATTAGTTTATCTGTTCTTACAACTGACTCTTCTCTTCAGACTGACAGCTCTTCCATTCAGTCAGACAGAGCTGACCCTACTGTATGTACTGACAGTACTGAAACTAATTGTCCTGTTGATCCTTCTGTTTCTCTTCAGCACCAAGAGGAAGAGTCTAAAGAAAATGAAACTGATACTGATGGCACATTTTGTAATAAAGATGAAATGTTAACACCTCTCAACGTATTTAGAAATAAAGCTCGGATGCCCACAATAAAAGAATCAGTTAGAAGTGGGAGAGAGGAAAGTGCTCAGACACAAGATTCAAATATTGTAGAGGAACTAAAACATGTAAGTAAACCTTATTAGGATTGAGTGTATTGTATCATTTATATCACTTTTTGTTGTGTAAACCTTATTTTTATGCAACAACCATTGAAAATAATAGTACCTATAGAAGTATTGAAAATGGATATTATTTGTCATTGTAAAAAAAAAAGGTTACTGATCTGTAACAGACAGGTTTAGGAACAGTCTGTAAATAACTATGAATGTGTTAATATGGCCACTTTTCATTACTAAATATTAAAAAATGTGGCCATCCCTCAAAATGATGATAATGTTTGGTTTAGACGAGTGTAAGTTATATCCTACTTATAACCAAATACTAAAGTAAAACATATATTGGTTAATTGTGAGAAAAGAGCACAAAATGCACGAATAAAGCATGTTACCTCCTATTGAGAGAGACACACTAAAGGGTCAGATCTTGCAACAAGCAGGACACTCCCTTTCCATGACCATGGTGCAGGTTATAATTAACCTGGCTCAAGAACTGGCCAAAGACAATAAACTACTGGATAGTTTATCCATGGAATGGACTCAAGCTACATGTAAACTGATGTGTAGCTTTCACAAAAGCCCAAAACAAGAAACCATCAAGTACTTACAGACAGGTGTTGTTCCAAGAAGAGAAAACACTGCTGGTGCTTAACTTCTACATGTCTTTCCTTCCACTTCTAAAGTACTATGTTGCAGTCCGAAGAGCAACTTCTCCATAAGCAGAGGAATAAGTGGGATAAACGTTACTTCAAGTTTCTTTCACGTGTCATATCATGAACAAAACAGGGAAAAACTAAAGCAGATTCATCTATAAAATGAACAAGAACAGTTTCTAAGACCTAGAGATATACTTATTGGAAATTAGGCTAGGAATATTGTTAAAGATAAGAAAGACTGTCCTAGTTATAAAATTACAACAGCTGGTATTGAATGCTTACAAAGAAACAGATGTTTACCTGTAAAGTAAGATTTGATATCTCTTTTGAATTCTGCTGCTACCCAAAGTCGTGGTGCATTTTTGGTAGCAATGAAGAACCTCCTTCAATTTGATCTATGCCAGAAGGATGGTAATGATTTGGAAGTCTGTAGGTAATTTGATCATTTTGGTGGTATATAAATTACAATTATTAATGTCTTTTATTTGGGAAGGCTTTTAATCAAAGATATATATTTACTATAATTTTAAGTGGATGAAACCCTACCATTCTTTACAGCAAGTACTTGATTAATGGTGGGGCTGGATCTTGCAGTGCTGTGAAATACCCTACCCTTAGTAAGCTAGCCTTGGCTGCATACACAGTTTTTGCTGGTCCTCAGGTGGAGTCCTACTTTAACACAATAGGTGACATCATTGAATTAAATCATTAAATATGACAATTAAAAATTACTCTTCTCTGCAAGATGTCAAATTATTTTTTAAAATAAGAACAAGAATTAGTGGAGAAGACATTCTGTATGATCATGTGGATTTTGTTTTTATAAAAAGAAAGAAATGCAAGTATATGAAAATGCTGAGTGAAAAAAATACTAAAATAAAAATTGAGATTGAGTCATGCTTAAAAGCACCAAAGTCCACAAGCAAAAAAAAAAGATAGGTGAAATGAAAAAAAAAGAAAAAAAGACCGGACAGACTCACCTAAAGAAGCCTAAAAAACAAGCAAGAATTAAAAAAGGATGGACAAGAATATTATGCTTCATTTCTTTTAGGTTTATAAATTATCTGGAAATAATTAATGAGTCATATAACTGAATGTGTGTATATCATTTTCATCATGGTATCAGTGACAATTTTCTTCTGCTTAGAAAAGCCATATTTTAACAGCTATTACATGGAACAATTATATGAGCAGTAAGGGTGTAGAAATGAAACACTGAAGCTGTAAATATCAACAATTTATTATAATAAATGACAGATGATACTACAGAGTATCATGATAAGTCAGTTGTCTTTCTTAATAAATTTATGAAACATTTTCAAATGTACTAGATTTTACAATACAAAAAAAGGTAAATTTGCTTTAAAAGTAAATTCATTTAGATATCCTGAAAGTGACAAGAGTGAGTTCAAACATTTCAAGAAAATAAGATACAGATCGTGCATATTTGTATATCCATTATATTCCAGAATGTATGTGCAGATTTTTTTGGTTCAACCATTTACATGTATGAAGTTTTTATTTTAATTTTAAAATCAATATGCCTTTAACACATATAACACATAAAATTTCCGTAATGTCATTTACCTTCTAAAACGTTGTAAGGATTGAGTACTGTTCAAAACTTAAATTTCATCAGTAAATTACTTTTGCTGTCTCAGAAAATAGCTTCTAATATGTGCTGTTTTTGAAAAAATTTGAACTTCTAAGACAGGACATGCCTACTATCAGATTCCCCCTTGCCAAAGTTTCCTCTCCATCCTTTCTTCAGTGATATCCCTGAAAATTAGTGAATTATTTGTGTGAAACAATATTTATGTGTATATATATACACACATACTTAAAAAATTATGAATTATCATTTGCAACTTTCCATTGTTAAGTATGCTTGGATGGTGTGAATGTGACAGATATTAGTACAACAGGTAGGATAGCTTTTCACTTTGAAATTGATAAAACTGCTTATATGTAAAACTATAGGTAGTAGTTGGACATTGTGCTGAATTGTGACTTCAAAACTAATTGTAAATTTTTTTTAAATAGGAAAATTACTTAGTTACTAGTTTTATTGCAAAAATTTTGTATCCACAAAATATGCTTACACCAGGCTTTCATTTTCAGTTTTAAGGTAGGTTTGATACTTGTACTTCAGAACACTAATCATCTCTCAACAGAATAGACAACTAATACTTCATGTCATTACCTAAAAGTTTTTGCTCATTCACCAAACCTTTGAACAAAATTCCCACCCCTGATAATGTGCACTATGCCAGTCTGTGATGCAGTAAGCATCAGACTGTATCTCTTCATCAATAGTAAAGTTACACATCCTCCTTGCTCAGGTACTTCCCTTGAGAATTATGTGTACACAAAAAGCTCATTTGTTTTCCTTGGCACTACAGCCTTAATTTGTGCTCTTTTTCCATTACGAGTTACTGAATTTATTTGCTTATTATTTTAACTTTCAGTTAACATTCGAATTGTTTTTTTTCCTAATTCCATTTTGTTGATTTCTGGAAAGAAAAATGCAAGTTCATTGAATTTCAGTTAAGGATTCTGATACAAATTATTATCTTATATTACTTTGATTTCTTTTGCCATCAAATCAAGAACTGTGACATAGTTTATTTGACAGAAATAAAAGGAAAGCTACCCTTGGTACCAGAGTTTGGCCAGTGTGCATCTCTCATTGTCCGTATGAGTGAAAGGTATGGAAGAAAAAGATAAAATAGCAGAAATCATAATTATATCAGGCAAGTGGTAGCACTGCTTATGTAGGGATGTCTTGGATTGTTCATCGAAATGATATATTAAATATCTCCTCAATAGGTCATCAGGATTTTACAATATTATACAGTGTTTCCTTTTATAACAATATCTATGTTATGACTGAGTCACAAGTTCAGGGAATGTCTAAATATCATAGCAAAAACTCTGATGGTGTACAATATTACTACAATTGTACATCACATTGTTGGTTTTATCTTACATTCTTCAACTCAGACTGAGGTCTCACAACCTTCTACTTCTGCAACTTTTACTGAACCTACCTTATCTTTGGATGACTTTGACCAGCTTTTCCCATAATCTGCCATTAGTTCTGGTTCTTCTATTCCTGATGAATATTAGGTAACACATTTGTTCTTTGCTACTCTGATAACTCAAGTATGAAGCATGTTTTTCTTACTCCAGTTGTTTCTGTTGGATTTTGGATGAGTTTATTGCATGCACTTGAACACTAAGATTTTTTTGCTTCCCCAGTTTTCTCACCTGATTTTTACAGATTCTTTCTGTCAGCTTCATGTTAACTTTCAGTTGGAACATCCTTTCCAAAATTCATACTCTTTGCCTGTAGCCTGTCGTGGGAATTCTTACTCTTTCCTAGAGTTCCAGTGAACTCTAATCTCTTGATTATCTTCTTATAGCTTGAGGATTTTTGTGTTTTCCGCCTACTTTAACTCTAACTATCTCTCAGTCTGCTCATCTTTGTCTTTTGCGTGCTTTCCTTCTTAGCTTGCTGTCCTCTTTACCCTTTTGAGGCTCTGCATTGCAACACAGACAGGTTTAATGGGGAAGGTTGCACCAACCTGTTTGTCATGCTGCTCCAATTTCTTCTTCAACAGTTGACCATTTCACTTAATTTCTTTGTTTCTGAGATTTGCTTCATCAAGATACAATTGTTTTTGGGAGTCCTCCCTCCTGTGGCTCCTTCCTTGCTTCCTACTTGACTTTTTTTGGCAATTGTTTGAACACTGTTATCATGACTACTTTTCAGCAATTTTACAACATTTTACATTATGATAGATACTTTTGGAACAAACTCGCCTGTCTGTGGTTCATTATAGTTTGTCCAAAACTGGTGAACATGATCAGAATGCACTTCACTTCATTAGATATCAATACTAGGGAGGACTGCTGCCTTACAATGTTACTGTTGATTGGAGATTCTAGTACTATGCAATGAAAAATTTTACCTTTGCAATGCAATACTTCTGATATTAAATTCAACTATTGTCAAATCTCAATCTAAGCATTTTGAAATACTGAATTTTGAGTAATGTGGTGCAATACAAGCACTTAATTTGTTAGTAAAGCAAATTAATTTGTGCTATCACATTATCGTAAGATACTGCTAATTTTAATGAACATGCCCATAAACTTTTCACCAGTGGTATGAGGTATTAGCTATCTATTCTGTAGAGAGGTGAGTATCTATCTTAAATACATAAAAGGATTTGAGGTGATTACACCACACACACACACACACTTCATTTAATCACTCACCTCTTTCCCATAGAGTACTTTTAGAACGTGAAATGAATACACAAAATGCTGATAGGTGTAAAACTATGATCATAAAGCACTGTTGAGAATGACTGAATCAGTTTCTCTCTCTCTTGTAAAACTTTTTGTCCATTAGTTAGCATTTGCTATTTTATAAAATAAATAATTTTATTTTTTTCAGTTTGTTTTAACAATGTGTCATTTTCTGAAGTTGTTTCTCTAATTTCATAACTTTAGGATGACACTTCTGGTGAATTTGTGTCTATTCCCCCCTCATCTAATAAAATTCCAACACCAGAAAGCTCACCTTCATCCAAAGACCACCCACTGACTAGAATTGTTTTTGGTCATTCTCTTGAAGAGGGAACAGATCATCTCTCATCTGTGTTTACCATAAGACCAGTCAACCAGTATGGTCAAAATATACCAGGGGATATCCTGGAGGACAAAGGTTAGTGGTCATTTCATAGACGTAATTAAAGGTGATTTCCAGCTTGTTATAGATGGAGGAATTGCCATGATGACATCTTTTTTTGGATAGATGGAAGTGTAGAAAGATAAACACTATATTTTTAAAATCAAAATGGCTTTAATCCGGTCAGACTCGCATTTTACCAGTCAGTCCATTTTTAAGAATTGATTGTTATGTAGCTTATTTGTTTCATTCCACTAATCCATATTTAGGTTTGTTGTAATTTACTCAATGTTAAGCACATCGTGTGCTAAATAGGCAAAAAAACAGCTTTCTAGGAGACAAAACTTCTAGCAAGTCTTGCAAATTTAATTTCAACAGACTTATTTCAAAATTAGATTTTCTTTAACACCAGGAGAGTTGTAATTGTTAAAGACACTACCCTCTTCACTCATTTTTTGTGTAAATAATTTAATGAACCTCCATCTATACAAGAAAGAACTACAGTTTCACATGTGTGTTTTATGTACAGGAAGTGGTAGTGGTAAACAGTGGAATTATACAGAATTTTGTGCTCTTGGGTAAAAAGTAAATCAAAAAGTTGTGTATACATAACTACTGCTTAGCAGTTTCAGATATGGCAGATACTTAAGTTCATTCTCCATACCTATTGACTTGTTAGCAATTTAAGTATTAAAAAAAAAGCTTATCACATTTTACACACACTGCATTAGAAATGCATTATTCATAAACTGGCATATATGCTTTTATATACAAAAACAAATGGTTCAGAAAACGTTCACTATTAAAATCTCCTAGCCTTATCATTGTCCTAACTTCAGTTACTTGCAATTGAGTAACATTTATGTTATCCTTCTCAAAAAAACATGTTGATTAGGCTTCTGTTAAATACAAGTAAAATACTGTTTGTCCCCTTTATCCTTGTAAATACTAAATATCATGAAACAAAAGGTATGCATGTATTTTTTTCAAGCAAATTCAAGTTGCTTATTATTAAATTAGTGTTACAGTGTAATTGCTGAGACCAAAAGTGTCGCTAGGTGCTTAAAAAATTTGGAGCTTGTGCCCATAGCCCCCACTCCGAGAGATCATGGTTTTCTATTCTGATTTTTCAAGACACCAACTGGGAATTCAGGGCACTATGAAATAGAATCGTGGCACAGGCCCCATGTGCCAGTACCTAGCAATGCCTCTAGCTAAGACCTAGTTCACATATTTCTGTTAAACTTTTAGTAAGTACATAAGAACTTGCATGTATTTTGTTAAATGTAAATATTTTTTCATGTTAAGTATCCATATCATGAAAAATATTATTATTTGACAGAATATTTAGTTTTGACAGTACAGCCAATATTGAGTAGGATATGTCACAAAAAAACAACAACATATTAACAGATGATTATCATATATATTACGAAACAGAATGAAAATCAATGTTCTTAATTGAAAAGACAGTATTATATGAACTGCAAAGCTGAACACAATCATCTTGATGGAAAGATAAACCACAGAAAAAAAGAACATAACTTGTAGTTTTTCAGTTTTATAAGTATGAAGCTTCTCTGAAGTTTTCAAAGTCTTGAAGTGTGTGAACTGCTATAGCTACTTATTTCTAGATTTTCCTTCTGTGTAGAACAACTTTTCTTTATACGTGTGAAGCTTTGCATATAAGAATGTTATTTTCTGGTCTGGACCTTCAGTGTAGCATTCTTATTTAATTTGAATTATGTGTGTTTTGTCATATTTTAATAAGCATTTAATTTTCTCAGGATAAGTAATTGGACTAGTCTATTTCCATCAACACACTAGTTACGTATAACCAAAGAGGTTTGTACCATTATATATTCAGCTTATTTTTACTGTAGATATATGTAATTGTTAAGTTACCTTCTGAGACAGATGTTGTTCATAGGATCACTTCTAGAAACATGAGAAATTTTTAATGGTTACATATTAATAAATTAGCTTAATACGTGGATTGACCATCGAACCCTTGTTGTGTTGTGAACATTTATATCTCCTAAACAAACAAAAATATAGTAAAGCATATAGTTTGTTTAACAAAATTTAAAACAGATCTAGCTATTGTAAGTACCTAATGTAGATCAGGAGAGACCTTCTTGGTTGTTTTTGCTTTAAAATTTGATAATTGGTTGTGTTATTTTTAATATTCTTTGGAGTGGAATACAGAAGTTCAGGTAATATAAAATAGTGATATTAAATTTACACAATTAAAAAATGTTCAACAGATACTTATGTTTGTTCTGGATTTTATATGATCTTCTTCTACAAACAGGAGAAGAATTATTAGATATGTCCTCAATGTACTTTCTTGGCATGGACTGGCAGAACTATGAAAAGCAAAAGAATTATGTTTTGGTTGAGTCAAAAGATTTGGTGAGTATACTCTATGTATAGAATAATAAAAGAAAAAGGTAGTAATTAAAATAACTTGTTGGTTTTATTTAAGAAGTTGTTTTAAATTTTATACATATATATTGAGATGGTCAACTTGAATTCAAGAAGAAGAATATTCACTATCAAATACAACAAAATTTTAAATAAATACAGTCTTTTGATATGTTTCAGCAGTAAATTGATTTTTAGTTGTTTTGAAAAATCTTAATATGCAAAGATAAGAACTTTCCTTAGGTCCACAGATTTGTGCTTGAGATTGGTGGCTTGCCATTGTTATATTTGTTAGTCTAAATCCAACATGAAATTTATAAGTGTTTGTATCATTACTAAAGAAAACTAAGAAACTAACAGAGAAGTTAAATTTTTATACATCAAAATAAAAACGTTTTGAGTAGTTGGCATGATTGGAACAACTATCTATACAGGTCTGACAATCTCTGGTTCTATTTATTCTACACAAGGTCACCATGGCAAACATTTACCATCATGGAAGAGGTTTGGAAATTATATAACAATAATAAAAATAAAAGAAAATCTGAGAAATATCAAAAACAAGTTCACCTGAAACTGAATGCGACAACAGTCACAATTTTTATAAAAGTTAAAAAAAATGGAACTATATCTTCCTGGTATTTTATGTGTGGCCTATGTGAGTTACTTTTCAAAACAAGATTCTTATAGATTCGTGCAATTTATGATATTTCAAATGTTTAGACATAACATGAAATACAATGCTTTGAATTCCTTCTGTGTAAATGGTTCTTTGAACTCTTGCAACCTTCCAGATTGTGGGTTGTAGGCAGCTCTGATCCCTTGGTTTCTTAGAATTGTTTGCCTGAATCAAGGATTTACAAGTTTCAAAATTTTTGTTTATCAATTGGATGTTCACAAATAATGTTGTGAGCAGCACATGAAGATCCATCATTTGTCTAATTTGTTTCTTATATATATGTTGTTACTGCTAAATGTTCTTAAATGTTAATCTTGAAAAGTAGGTAAGACTAGTTCTTACTTTCACAATTATAATACAATAAATAGTAATATTAATTTTTTTATAGGATGTGGAGTATTATGATGATGATAGAGAGACACTGAAAAAAGGTAAGAGCCTGAAAGTTTACAATATAAAAAATATAAATTATCTGGTTATGAACAGGTATTTAATTGATGAAATGTGTAGGTATTGTATTATGTAAACTGAAAGTTTAAAGTTGGAAAGTGCTTAAAAACATCCAGTGATTGTATATTGGTTTACTTTATGTTATTTGAATTCTAATGTCTTTCAGATTCCAAAGATATTACCCTTACACAATGTCTGCAGTTGTTCACAGAACCGGAAGTTCTGAGTCCACAGGAAGCATGGTATGTAGTTGTTCTGTTGATATAGTTTTGTTAATATCTTTTCTTCATCAGTAGGCATGAAAACAACAGACTTGATTTTAGAGTGAGTGTTAAGTGTCAATAATGAACTCTGATACTGTATAGAGTTTATGTAATTTTAAGTAAATATCAACCACAGTAATAATCAAGTATTTCTTTACTTTCACATAAATGTCACACTGAATGGCTCACTAAAACCATCAATTCTGTGAGAATTCAAGGTCCTGAATATGTTGTACTTAATATTTAACGAAATATATTTCAGATATTTTCAGTGTATCGTTCACATCCTAAATTGTTAAGCCTATATGTAAGACTTCTTATCATTGTCAAATCTAATCTTCAAACATATTTGATATCAGTTTTGCTATTCAGTGAAAAACACATTTATAACAAGTATAATGAAAATGTTTTGAATTTTATAAAGACAAGTAGGGATAGCTATATATACGTAATCTAGTTAGCTATAGTAATATAGAAATTCTACAAAAAGTATTGAAACACATCAAAATTACAAAAACTGAGTTACTTAAAATTTTAAAAATTTATCAATACTTTGGCAAACCAACAATGGTTTCGTTTTTATCAGCTGTATTTTTGTGTGCCAGAAATACCAAGCATGTAGCAACCCACCCTCAAATCTAATCACATTCCCAAAGTAAAATATTGTCCATTATATATATATATATATATATATATATATATA